GCAAATCTTGTGTTTGAAAAGGTCAAAATAGCTTCTTATATGAAAAAATTTCCAGAGCTTATCTGTAAAACGACCAGCTGTAAGATTCTTTTATCAATATTATTGTTCCATTTAACCATCATTTTACTTAACTATGACTGTTTTTATATGCAATTCTATATAAATATGTACTTCGTCAGACTAGAGTCAAATAGATTGATTCTCGATGAGCATTACTTGTCATCAGTTGATACTTTTAAAACTATCTATCATCATGAAATAAAAGTAGTTGACGAACAAAATACAGCAATTATGTGAGACAAATAAATTCTAAATGAGAGGTAGCCTTGCATAGTTATTCTTCAGTGATCTAGAATGATTCTTGTCTAACACAATAATACAGTTGTCAATCCGAAAGTTCTCTTTTGCTATTCTTGTTGAAAATCGATCATAAGCATAACTCGCTATATGATTGTTATATATTCCTGAGGAGAGTATAGAAGATACTGGGCTGTCGCTGTTTATATAAGAATCTTATAGATATGAACTTAAATACAAGGGTGACAAAGATCGGATGTGAGAGCAGAATAAAAAATTAATAGCTACTTGACCGAAGAAACCATAATAAGTACCTTTCAATTAAAGAAAATATTCTAAAACAAAATAATCGTTGTTAACAAAGTTGAGAATTTGACTAAAAAAGGTTTCTCGTCTTGTAACAAAATTCGACTTCTATGCGAAGAAAAATTCTCTCTCTTATTTTAATAATTTTTCTTGTCTCTATTTTAGACTATCCATTACGTTCTCCATCCAGCACCAACATTCATCCGAATGCTCGATGGCAACAAAATGGTATCACTGTGGCTGGAGGAAATCGACAAGGCAATGGAATCAATCAACTCTCAAACCCATATGGTTTGTATGTTGATGATGATCAAACAATCTATGTTGCTGAATGGTCGAATCATCGTATTGTGGAATGGAAACGAGGTGCAACAAGTGGCCAAGTGGTTGCTGGTGGAAATGGACAAGGAAGTGGAGATCATCAATTGTATAACCCATATGATGTGATTATCGACAAAGAGAGAGATAGTCTCATCATATGCAATTGTTTGAATGGAAGAGTGATTCGATGGCCTCGTCGAAATGGGACAAGTGGAGAAACAATCATCTCCAACATCGATTGTGTGGGTTTGACAATGGACGAGAATGGATCTCTCTATGTCACTGATAATGTAAAAAATGAAGTGAGACGATATCGAAGAGGAGAATCTCAAGGAACAGTGGTTGCAGGTGGCAATGGAAGTGGAAATCGTCTCGATCAACTCTCTGACCCCTCATACGTATTCGTCGATCGAGATCATTCAGTGTACGTATCTGAATGG